TGTTACATTTGTCCAGAGTGAACGTAACAAGTTCGCCATCTTTTCTCAAGAAGAAATCTACTCGAAATGAATGAGCCGTGGGCCGTACTTTGTGTTAATCACGCTTTGACTTTTGTAGACTTGCATCTTGTACTGACTGACTTACTTTTTTTAATCAGATTTTTCTACTCATCCCTATCGAGATAGTCCAACTTCCTAAACCGTTGAAAAAAATAAGGTTCTATAGAATTGAAATACATAGAACGAAGGCGGTTGTTAATTTCGACCACGGCCCAAACTACTCAAATGCTTGACATCTTCAGAACACAATTTCGAGAAAAAATCAAATCTAAATCAGAAGTTACCGTTACAGAACCGAATGTACTAATGTTATTTCCGGCTCCCTTTTCAATCGAAAGTGGTTTTCTAGAACTTAATTTTAGCTATAGAGAGTTAATTTTCTCCAAGGTGGAAATCTTGATTAATTAAGGCAGTTTTACACATTTCAAAATTTTTAAACTTCAAAATGTAACCGAATATTGAAATCAAACATGGCTTTTCAAGTTTCAGCTGAAGTGGAAATTTGAATTGATTGATGGAATTTCGCAATTTCTTTGAGGATTCAATTGTAATTTAAACATAACGATATTTAAATTGAAACCTGTTGTTTAAACACGATTCGAAGAGCAGTGCCATTGAGTGAAACCAAATTTGGCATCATTCTCGGCCTCTTTGCAATCACACGTGTCTTTCCAGAACTCAGTTCTTAATAAGTGATTTTCTCCACTCTGGATTAAGTGAAAATTTCACCATATATTTAAAGGCACGATTCGAGCAGCACAGCTGATTTTGAACCCTACCTCCATCCCTTTTCGCCCAAAATAAACTGAATACGGTATCATTTTTGGTATCGTGCCATAAAAGTGATTTTCCACAACCACTTTTAACGCAAATCATCTCAGAAGAGGAAATCTGGTTTAATTCGTGCCATTTCGTCAGTTAATTGAGCAAATTTGTTGATATTAAATTAAATGCTTAATGTTCAATCGGTATTCGATTGGCACGATCCGAGCATCTCTACATCTACATTGAAACCGAAAAACCGAAATTTCGATTTTTTGTAAAGAACACACTAACATTTTCGAGTTTTGACAGCGGTCCAAAATGTTTCGATTAATCTCGATTTGATAAGCCAATTGAGCCTATGTATATTCCATTCTTTTATTAGCAAAGGGATCGATTCGGGAAGTTACGAGTGGAACGAGAACGAAATTTCATTTTGTCTGCTTTATGAGGAAGAGTTTCTTTTTAAAAATATGTATTTGGAATAAAGGGAAAATAAAATTTGAAACGAAATCCCGAAAGTGGTAGCGGAAACGGAATGAGCGAACGTCTTTAGGGCGTTGTGTCTCTTAAGGGTTCGAGGTTACGAAAAGCACATGGTATCAGGGGAATCCCCTATTGAGTGGAGAAAAGTAGCGGGCTTCGTCAAGTGAGAGTCAATCTTACATAAATTGGGGCGAATTAGCGATAGGACCCTTGAGTTTACCTGTTTCGTTACTTACGACGTCATTTATCTTTACAGAGATCCACCTTCTAAAATATTTATAAAAAAAACAACCGCAAAAAGCGAGGGGTTTTCAGCACGCATTCCGATTTTACGCATATGCCCTTCGCCTAAAATAAGAACATCGCTTCTAATTACTCATAATTTGGTACACTGGCACATTTTTAGAGTATGTGTCATTGTCCCAAATCCGCCTCTTCCTGTGGACGATTTTTTCCTCACATCTCGTACTGTGCCCGCGATTATAAATTGACAGACCGAAGTGGCCCTCGACAGCTTAAATAAAAACACAAGGTAAAATATGGAAATTGTTGTTTTTGTTTCATAATTTTGTTCTAATTAGAGACTATCTTTGATCAGAAACAGAAAATTTTGAAATTTTATTGTGGACATCGCCAAAGGGTATGCTACTTTGTATTGTACTAAACACACTTCATGCCAGTAAGGGGCTCTTTAGTGTTTAAGAATGAATTAGAAAAAAATCTGTAATTCTGTCTTGGTGTCAGGTTAGCAACGCCCAAAGTAACAATAATGTTACCAGTGACGTTTCAAAATTTTCTGTATTGCTCCATTATCCGTCGACATTTTATTTGTATTTTTATTTATTTATTATTTATTATTAGCCAAGTCGAAAGAGTTTTATAAGCTACATGTATACAGGGTGGTGACTTGCGTAACGCATCATAGGGATTTCAATGTAAAATTCATAACATGCGATTATTGGCTCCCCAAATTATTTTAGAGCAAAAATGAATTAAAGTTTTTTGTAGAAAAATTTTTTTTCTCCAACCACCTGAATAAGACGCTATTTTGTGACAGTGTTCGGTACCTAAAATTGACGTTTTGCGAATTAATCGCTTTCACCATGGCAACTGTACAAAAAGTGGATACTTTTGGTCCTAGTACCAAAAAGAAATTGACCTTGAAAGTTGGCCAATTAAAAAATTACAATCACGGAGATATGTCACATTGACATCGTTTTACATTGCAGATTGTAAGATATTTCTATACATACAAATCAAATATTTTTGCGTATTCAATGCAAATAATGATGTTACCTATACGTATGTACATGTATTGAAAATGATTTACGCTCGCTATTTTTATTTAAACCGTAATTTACATATTCCGTGAACGTAATTTTAATACGTATACAACCCGCCGTCGCGTGTAACGCCATCTACTTCAGACCCATTGCACTATTATCTGTCATTTTGAATTCAAAATTGAAAAAGTTAATTGCAATTAATTTTAATTAAAAAACTGTATGGTAAGTTTTTTATTTCAATGCAAAATATAACAATATTTATTGTGTATACAATAAAATGACTCAAACTGATAGCGACATGGATTGCACTCCGCCAGAGATTATAGAAACGGCAGAACATGCTACCTCAAGATTTGCTCCCTACAAAGTCGCGAGAGGTGAGAAGTAAGAAGTAAGAACGACTAGGTTATAAGTTAACCTAAAAACTAGAGTGGCATGACACGTGAGGACAAGAAAGCGGAAGTTCTTATACTAGTAGTGAAACTGTGACTGAATCTAAATTCGAATATAATTTGAAGTAAAGGGGGTTGGAGAAAAAATTTTATGTTTTATTCGTACAAAAAATGCGTTTTCGGGACTCGGAAGGTTGCTGGACTCCGCTAACGCGTCGTCCAGCAACTATCTTCCTCGTCCCGAAAACTGACATTTTTTGTACTAATGAAACAAATAACTATTTTCGCCAATTAATCTTATTAGTTTTCAATTTTTTGCATAATAAAGACGGAAAATTGGAAAAATAAAACCCGCATCTTTTTCAATAATCTGCGATGCCATGGAATTTTCTAAAACAAAAAGATATCCAGTTATCAATTAGCAGCAGTTCGAAATGGATTTTATGATCGACTTGGTTACTGTCTTGCAGTTAATGGTGACTTATTCGAACATTTATTGTAAATTGTTATTATTAGGAAACCGTTTTTAGTAATTTGGTCTTTCTTTATGTTGAATTCGCTGTTCTAAATATAATACTTTTTGATAGATTTTGATTTGTTTTATAGCAGACATTCCATGGCATGACGGATATTGGCGTAGTTTTTGTATTATAAAATTCCATGGCATTACAGATTTTTGAAAAAAATAATAATTTAATTTAAAAGAATTTGGGGAACCAATAATCGCATGGTATGAATTTTACATTGAAATCCCTATGATGCGTTACGCAAGTCACCACCCTGTATACATACGTTAAGGGTGAAATTCATAGTACACTTTACTAAGTGCACACTTAGTTTAGTTTAAGTGGAACTTGTATTTACTGCTAGTGTATTCCTGCTTAACTGTCCGTATTTCGCGCGTTACTGTAGCAATAATGTCATGTCACCTTTGCAATTATATCTTTGAATACCACTAAGTACACGCTAAGTATGAGTAAAGTAAGTAATATCTGAATTCCACCCTTACACTATAGGTAAAGATTTTTTATTATACCTGAATCACAATCTACGTTTTAAACACTCAAATGCGTGCGAAAAAAGGCACATGTGCTTTAAAGTTGCTAAGTAATGATACTTCAAGTATAACTTTTGAAACTGTCATCTGAGTGAAACTCTTAGGTATCTTTCTGTAAATGCAGAACATTTCTTTGGCTTGTACCTCTCCTTTGATTGAAGCTTTCACAAAGGCGCGTAATTAATGTAAGTATGCTTCCAAACCTGTTCCACCTTTTAATCGCAGCATTGTTTGAAGTTTTGAATGAATGCACCAAAAGATAGAAGATTTAAATACCTTTGACATTTCCTTCATATATGCCAGCATTATCGATGCATTTAAGACTTTATTCGTAAGTAACTTCCTACTCATCCATGGAAACAATGTTTCATATTCTTTATAATAGACTTTACTGGATTTGGATTTTACACCTAACAACGTTTGTTTAGATTTTACAACAAGCGATTTAATGGACGGTGTATTATCTTTTTCAACGGAAATCGTTTTATTCACAAAGACGATGATTTTTATAAGCAAAAGTCAAGTGACATTTCCATGGCAATTTTGAAATCACGAACACTCAGGCCACTTGACATGTATTCGTGTACAACGTCAATATGATTTTATTGTATTTTCTATTTTTAAATTATACTGCAGGTATAATAAAAAAATACTATAAGATACACGTGTATAATTGGTCTTTAAAGCACTTGCAACGAAATGAAGTTTAGTTTAAAATTGACTTCGGGCCGAATTTGCGAATTCAGTGACTGGAAAACTTTTATAATTTTTACAACAAATGAACGCTTTATGAATTATCCAATTGAAAAATTATTGGAATTCCATTAATTCCTCGACATTTATGGAACCAAACGTTCTCGATTTCGGTTGAAACGCAGAACAAAATGATGTAAATTTATAGACGAGGATGACTAACGCGACACACATAATTAATTCCAGTCTTCATGTGTGTTACAGGAGGAGTCATCGTCCCGGTGCGTCGATTTGTGGAATGCGTGAGACATTCTGCGGGCAGAAGGTAAAATTCCGGGATGCTGTGTACTCGCCGATGCGAAAACTTATCGTTACATTTTTAGGCGTCGGCGTCGTCTTACGTAAGTGGCCAATTTGCGTTGCGGATATCAATGAACCAAAAACGACACGACAAAACAATAGCCGAAAAGGGATCGCGGGCCCAAATTTAAAAACGTGCGTTTAGGTGCGAGATGAAGAATGGAGGAGAGACCACGTCGGCACACATGTGCGAACACATGGTATATTCTATAATTATCAGCCCTCGCAGAGGCAGCCGCCGGCCGGGGGGGCTTCTCTCTCAGCTCGCCACAGATGTATTTTAAGAAAAGACAAATTTGGGAAGAGGGGCTGGCTGTACGCCTGTCTTCCTTTGCGGTCGCACCAATGGCGTGCACGGGGCCATTTTTAGACTATAGCGGCCTAAGAGGTATCCTAAACAGTTGCTTGTAAATGCAGGGTGCATTTAGTTGTGGACCAAAAGCCTTCCCTGAAGTGCCGATACGGAGACCTTCGAGAGTTCCGTGCTTCCTTACTTCCCATAGTGCTTAAGACGTATGGAATGTAAAGAAGTATGGAGCAAACGGGGGCTAATCGAACGTCCAACCCTTCGTGAAGTGCACTCGGATTGTCGTGATTGGATTTAACGCTACGTGATTGTGATTTAAATGAAGTGCGCGATTGTTATGTAATCGAATTTTCAAAATTGAACTTCTTATATCATAAGAGATAATATGTAACGTGCAATGCGGTGCTGTACGATAAGTTGCCTAAAATTAGATTTGGGATACCTTTTTTGGTGCGACGAAAATACGCAAGGATGCCAAAAATATCCGAAACAGTCATAATATCCCCATCAATAACTGATTGATTTGGTTATACGACAGTTTACATGAAATTTGATTTTCTACCCTTCACAACTCAATATTGTGAAGTTTATAATTTATGAGGGGTGTCATTAACAATGTAGGTATGAACGAGTGTGCTTGGGGGTTTCCGATTTGGGATCAAGGATTAGCTATACAACTATCGATTTATGGACTACTAAATTAGGAGTGATGCGGTAGCCAAAATCCGGCGTTATATAACTTCAAAAAGGCAGTTTTATAATTAGATTTGCTTTCCGTACAATAATCGTTAATGTGCCCAATTTTCTAGCAAAATTTTCTTATGGACGCCAATTTCACAATCTACAACTCTGAATGTTTGTAGTGGAATCATTTTCTAAAAAAAATTGTTTCTTCAAAATTATTCAGGACGCGTGTAATTTTGAAACAGTTCCTCGATTCACAATGTTTTTTCGTAAGGGGTGTGTTCGAAAATTTTGGAGCAAGTTGAAAATTTTTTGGCTTAGGACCTAAAACTTGGTGCGACTTTATACTGGATTTAACTGAAATTGTCATAAGACGCAACTATTTTTCAAAATTATTGCTATGAAAAAGCCCGGAGATGAAGTTCCATTAGAAAAATCTGAGTCGGAATCAGATGTTCTCATCAGGATTTTCGCATTGAATCAAATCAAATCTAAAAAGGTCAGGAAGGTGAAAATAGACTTGTAATTGAAAGCAAATCAAAAGATCTAGAGATTAGCCAAATAAAAACTTGTGAACCAAGGGACAAATCTCAGTGTAGTGACGCCCTTAGAACCTGTCAAAGTAATAAACTGAAAATTTACTTTAAAAATTTGGATAAACACGATTTAATACAAGCGCATGCGAACTTTGAATTACGAACCAATCTAACAGTATAAATATTTGTATGTTTATTGTGAAACAACAAAATATACGTGTACGTCGCGCATAAAGGAGGGATCGTAAGCACTTTGGGGTTAACACAGCATCTTCCCTCGACGTTCGGATCCTTAAGCTATTTTCAAACGAAAACTATTTACCGCTGTCGGATAATTATTTTGCAAGTTGTAGGTAAACAAAAGTTATTATACGATCCTATGCACACCGAATTTGGAATTTAACTAAACAGTTGAAGTTTATGTTTTCCAGTGGACGCGGTTGAGAGCTAATTTTAACGAAAATTCGACAAACTTCCTATACTACCGGATCATAAATACAGTTCACCCACACATTGTGATACTACTGTCGTGGCACCAAATACTTTAAAAGTGACACTTTTCTGTCGGTTTTGTGACACTTGAATGTGTACAGTCACGGATAAAATTAATGAAGCTTAAATTAAATTGAACTATCTAGAGGTCGTTAATATTGTCCGTTATCGTACAACGCTATGTGTAAATACCAGCATGTTAAATTAGGATATTTATGGATAAATTGTAATATTTGTACACTGCGAATGTAAATTAAAAAAATAAATATTACCAGCATCACACCCCCAGTATTTATCTACACCTTTCTACACGTGTTAAATAAGACTAAGAATTTACATCCGTGCAAAAAATATTGAAACAAGATCAGTTGACTCGTAAATAATACAGAATGACCGAAACCCGATGGAGAGCTACGTCCTGGGCCAGGAGATGTGCAACAGAGCTGGATTATTTTTGTTGTTTAATGATCTCGAAATTTAATTAAAAAAATTGGAAGGCTACAAACGAAATCGTGGTGCGACGTTTTGGTCAATTAATTATGAAAATAAATGTGAAATTGTTTTTGAGATATTAAGATTTTATTCATCTTTGAGATTTTTGCTTAGGGGAGGTCGAGAGTACCGTGCAGAATACAAATATAGCAAAACCTTAATTTTTAATTTATAGTCATGGGCATTAATTCGCCTAAGGATTATTTTCCCACTAATCAATAAATATTGCAAAATAGTATCAACGGAAATTTCAAAATCTGGTCCAAATTGGTCATCTTAAAACTTCTAGCACACATTTGTTTTCTTTATTTTTTGAAAATATGCTGCAAATGCACTAAAAAACACCATGAAAGTATAAATATGAAAAAGTCAGCGCTGGATTGAAGCAATTTTGAGATCCAGGAAGTACACAATTTAATTCAGTACAAGTTTGCCCATCGATTCAATTTCAATTTTCTGCCTGAACTATAAACCACCTAAAAGCTTTTATTTAGAAGTAATTGAAACTTTCTAGCTGCAGTTTTGAACTTGATGTAACATAAAATGGATACAGGTAAACAGATTAGGCCCTACGTGTACCTAAACCAAGTGCGGATGGGCGCTGAATCCACGTAAAAAAATGTATGTTTCTTCGTACGGCCTTTGGGCTTTTTCCCTAACCCCGTTCCTGTTTTAAGCCGTTTCCGTGGGAACTTCGGGAAGTTTTTTATGTCATTGCAGTGGGCACATTTTAAATCCTTGGAGGTTTTGTAAGTTAAGAGATGCCGTTTCAGGACATATGGGGGTGATGTGTTGCAAAATCACACTGTGCACATTTTAAATATGAGAAAGTATTGTGAATTAACATGTGTCTAAGTAGTTCATTTTGCTTTGTACTGGTACCGGCACGTAAAAAGTCTACAGCGGGCTATACACAGACGACCAAGCAAGAGGTTCCACTGGTTTCAATTAATAAAATATTAATAACGTGCCGAATACAGTAGTTCGTTGTATAATGACAGTGTGCACATTTTAAATCTTTTGAAGACGTGTGTGTTAAGAGATATCATTTCAGAACAATTTGGAAAATGTATAAACTTTCAAACTTTTTCGAAATATTGCGTATTTTAAGCGGCAATGGTCACTTTTACACAATACGTTATTTACTGTTAATCGAAATCGAGAATAACCTACAGTGACTGAATTTAGAACAGTGGTGACAATCGGGTATTTCGTTTCTGATTGGTCGTTGGTTCCGGTCGCCATATTGGGGCTAAATTGCTATACTTTGGTATAGTATTTTACACTTATTTTTGTGTTCTTGCGAAATTCTGCAAATAAAGGTGCTGCTTAAGGTAAAATGTATATTGTGGACATTCGGTTCTATATAGGCATAGTTTAGGGTGTATAAGGTCAATAAAAATTAATTATGAACATCTTTTTGAATTTGGGAGGCAGTAGTTTCCTCATAGCTCTGTTTTGTAAAGTTTTAAACGATCATTTCTGCCCCGTTAGTATTTAAATTAAACCGACATTTATTATTATATGGTCCCAATTTGACATGGCAAGGTATATTGATCCTACAATCAAAGAATTGCACTGGTCAAATTTGAAATATGAGTTATGCTGAAGGTCATGTCAATAGTAGTAAGAATCTACAGGGTGTTGTTTTCTCTTCGGGGCCATGTTCCTTTTTTTGCCCTTAAACTTCTTTTCATTGAGCCACTGGTAAATTGTGCAACAAGAATTTAAATTGGTTCAGTCTTCAATACTTCAATATCTGCCTCGAATATCTTCAACTTTAAGTTTAATTGCACAACTACCTGATAATGGCTTTTGTCGAAACATTGTTTCATAAATAAAGTTTCATGGGGAAGGTTTTGTGCCAACTTTAAACACACTTTATTCATACCACCCCATTTTGAGAAGAAAGTTACACCGATGGATATTCTAGAAGATTAACTGGCGCGATTAGTTATCTCCTTTCGCTTGCTTCTTTTATAACTTTATTTTAATTTTATTAGTTGTTGATTCATAGAGTTCTTTTAATTAATTTTGAACTGAATTAGGACACAGAACGGGCGCATGGTGGTGGCGTGGAACTGGTGTGGTGCTGTTGTGGAGATTGTACTGAATTTCTTAACTATTTTTTCCAAGGGGTTGACCACGAGAGAAACCCTTGTCTTTCAAACAAGAAATTTTGAGAAAACATTGGAAATATGTAGGAAATGGGACGAAATTAGAAGGAAATCTGGGGAAATATTAAGAAGTGTTGGGGATGCGAATTAACCATTTTTTAGGCAAAAAAAATAGAGTTTTGTCAAGTGTTAAAATGGTCTATAACAAAAACAAAAGAAATAAATACGTGAGCGGGGGAGTGGGACTAAGTCTTTGGGGATGGCGAAAAGGGGTGAAAACCGTATAACGGCAATTACTGGCAAAAGTTGAGATCAGAGACAAAAGTGTGAAAAACTCCTCAACTTGCTTTCCAGTTACTTTCACACATCTCCTCCAAGTAACCGAAAAATTGGGGAAAACTGTGTTTTTTGTTTTTTATTGTTTACTTCCACAAAAATGATTTTCTTTAAACGAAACTTGGTTGAAATATACCTACTTGTTTTGATTCAAATAACTACAATTTTTTCCAATATAAAAAATGGAGAGGTTTCTGAATTATTCGTTTTTATCGTCAAAGACCTTTTTTTTCAAATGAAAATTTACCTTCAGAGATTTATCGTAGGGAGTTCCATTTAATGCCATTGTCTTCGTTTTTATCTATACTTTTTGATGAAATAAAAAAACTAGTCCCTATTGAAGAAGAAACTCAAAAAAAGTCCAAAAATGACTTCAATATCGTTGATAATGTGTTTAAATTTTGAAAATTTTCCAAAAACTGATTTCAGCATTCGATTCTACGGAACAAAATACAAAAAACAACTACGCTTCATTGTTTGAACAGTGACTTTCTTCCTTGATAGTATTATTAGTATATAACATTCAAATGAACTAAGTTTGTGTGCTGAAATATACTACTAGTATACTGGAATTGTTGAAAGCAGAATGACCGTTATGTTTACAATAGAATTTGACCCCCTCCCTCTTCCCAGAGTTCGAGATCGTTAGAAATCGTCGAGGAGAGTGACAGGAGCGTGTTAGTCCCATTCGAAGCAAGGTCCTATGCTCGCACACATTTCAGGTATACAGGTTGTTTCACCCTGTATTTTATTGCACTTTCGAAATCTACATAAAAATGATTTTTCAAAATTTTTGACGTTGCACTACTTTTCTTTAGCGCCCTGTACATATGATTCCGTTGACTTGAATTTCAAAAAGTGTTTCAAAATCAACACATGCGAATGATTTAAATTTTGATCGCTCTTCTACAGGGTATTATAAAATATTAATGGTCAAGTTATTAAACTTCGAACCTTCAAAAGTTGATTTTTAAAATGAAACCTACACTAACAAATGTGGAAAAAAATTCTTCATCGATCAATTTTTACATTCCCTATACCTATCTGTTATGGTTTTCGTTTTATTTAAGATTTTCTAAAATTGTGACCGTTACATGCATAATTTTCTTAGGAGGCCTAGAAAGAAAAGCATTGAAACGTCAAAAATTAAAAAAAAATCTTGAATATCTTGAAAACCTTTGATGGTAAGTAGGCCTAGGCAATAAATTATAGGGTGTTCCATTTAAAATAAGAAAGTTGCCATCCAAATAAGTAAATATTTTCTTTCAATAGATCATGAAAAACTATGTTAGTATGCTAAATTTTCAAATTTAAATTCTAAATACTTTTAGGTAACAGTTTGCGTGAAACACCCTGTATAGATATTTATACTGCTGGAGATGCTTACCACAAAACACGTGGGATAGAAACTACTCTGCAATGCAAAGTTTGGGAAGCTTTTCAGCGCCATCTCTCAATTGAAATTATTAGTAGTGGGTAATTTAAAATTCTGCAGGTACCTATACCCTTGGTAAAAATTAATCTGAAGACACTTTTTGTGACAAAAAGGTAAGATTAGAGTGATGTTATTTTTTATTCCATTTTGTAAAAATTTTGAAAATTGTCTAGAATAAAATAATTGGTTTTTACGGCCCTAATTTGTTACCAAATTGTTCATACATCTACCAATAATTATGAAGTCTAAGTGAACTACTGAATTAATTTCGAATTAAAAAAATTATCAAAATCCTCGTGTGGGATCGAAGGGACTTCAGAGCATTTTTGATCCACAATTCGCGTTTGAAGTTTTGACCACACCTTCAGTAGGACCTTGTCGGGGGTTACTACATTCTCTTTGTCGGTACTTCTGACGCCCCAGTTTAGTGAATTTCGCTAAAATCCCTCCACAAAATACTAAAATAGTATTACATTTTTGGGGCACTTCTGATAGCTGGAGCTTTGATTGGCGACACGAAATAGAGAGACTGCGATTCGAACATTACAAGTCGACTACCTCTCGAAGACGCGCACTTTGCAAAAGGTGATTTTGCCCCTCGGAAAACAAACAAAATTCCGTCGCAAAAGTACGTACGCGTGTTTACAAGATCTTTTCGACGACACCTATTTAAAAACAATCGTACTAAAACTGTAGCAGAAGATAGAAAAAAACTGAAAAATCACCACGTTAGTATAACACGCTCAGGGATGGCGCCCAGATGTCACCTATCCTGTCCCTAAAGTTGTTAATTATACGGCCCCGGTAGGTACACGTACACTCCTAGTCCTTCTACGGGCGCGCATTTGCTGCCTACCAGCCAGCCAGCCAGCAGCTCGGCAAAAAT